AATACAAAGCCCCTTGAAACTGCAACAGGTACATAAATTCAAACTCTTCAATATATATGAATAGATTATACGGTTGGCAGACTACCTGTGCCAAAGATGCAGGGACCTCCATGCTTGCTCCCTCAGAGTTTAACCATTTTCATTAGACACATGGATGTCTAACACAAGATGGTGAAAACACTAGAAAGCATCTCTCTCTGTCTATCTATCTCTAGGCAACCCCCTCTCACGGTGGAGATGTCAGTACAAAGTAGCATTGTGAGTGCTGGCTTGCCTTTTGCCTTCCTCCCTTTTCTGCCTTCATGCAGTTCATGCCCTCCATTGAAACCCACCCATTCTCACTGGCCTCACAACACAGCAGCTCTGCTCTGCTCCCTTGTTGAGAGTGGAGCAGAGAAAGCCAAGGTGGGAATTCAGGCTGCCATCAATGCCCTCCCCCACCTTTGCACTGCGACAAAGGGCAGCTATGCAAGTAGGCACCAGGCCAGCACAGAAAAGTAACAAGGCAAAAGCCAGTTTTGTGAGGATGACAGTTTAAAACCATGATATTGCACCCTTATGGGTGGAGCATTAGTTTAGTCATTTGTGCAGAAAGGGTAACGAGCCAGCAGACACTGCAGAACTAACACTGAAGTCTAGGCCACAATCCATTACCAGAAAAAAACCCCACAACCTATCAAACCCCAAACAAAAACCACTACCACCAAAACAAAAAATGCCTGGGAAGGCCTGTTCTGATGCATCCGATTCACTCTGCAGATGCAGCCTGTCTGAGCCTAGCCCCAGCTCAGCACCACAACAGCACTGGGCTGATTTTGTGCAGAGCTATTTGAATCTGTCTACACTGCACCCCGAGAAGTTCCATATCAGCAACTCCAATGTTAGGCGTATGCCATCTATCTTAACTCCAGAATAAGCAGGTATTGACATTGATTATAAGAAAACTTGGTGCATTTCCAGAAATTTTTAGCCACCAGCCCAGGAAGGTAATGACTTTTTTTTTTTTTTTTTTTTAAACCAACACACCCATTTTCAAAGCTCAAAAGAATTGTTTAGTCTTTTATCGCAGTTAACCAAATCTCTACACATAGAACATAGATATCACCATTTTGGGAGCAATACAGGGAGGAAGAAAAAAAGATGGCTTTGTGATTTAAAAACTAACGGCTTGTTCACTCATTCTCCTGTAGATTTTCTACTGCCTAATTTAATTGAGATTACAAAGGTTTGTTCGGCTATCAAAGCATGCTCATCACTTCAGTCTGAGGTAAAGAACAGCACTGCTCCCACTAGTTCTCTAGGAAGAGGAGAAACACACATATCAAACCTGAGTGGGCCATGCGTACACATCACAAAAGAGATGCTGACAATGTATGATATTATTTCTTTGGGGCAGTTCAAACATTTCTAAACAAGAATGTGAACACCCAGAAAAAACACAGACTTCTGCCCCTCAAAAACCCAGGACTGGTTTAGATAAAATTTAGAAATAAATGCAAGACAACACAGGCCTGATTCTGTCAGTAAAACACGAAATATCACATGCATTAAAAGACAAAATATTGCATATGCTGAATGTTTGCAGGATTTTTCTCCTTGAACAAGAACAATTCAATATGGCCACCTAACTCTTGGTAAGCCCTACAGTATGAATGAGAATTACATTCTTGCTCCATGATATTTTCAGTAAAATAATGACTTCATTATATTTTATAATATATAAAGAAGCCTTAAAAATGCTTCATGTCTCCCACTCGTGTATCAGAAATACCAAGTCTAGTCTTCACAAGTTATAAAGAATGCCTGCGAAAATTTCAGGGTATGGTTGTTTATGTCTATCCACAACTGATGAAAAGCAGCTGTGTTGAATCTAAAAACCCTGCTTTATCAGAACCATTATATACTGAAGTTACAAAAATTAATTCTTTGAACCATGCAAAAAAATACAGCTCTCCCCCTAGAAATAGTTGAGATTTCACTTGTTTGATCCCGAGTCATCACTAAGCCCAGAGCCTTACATGTTTCAAAGCAGAACGCCTTTATTTTTCCACACAAAAGGCAAGAAGAAAAAAAGCCACCCACTTGAAAACCCTCTTCATCCATGATAAAAACGGCCATAACACTATTAAAGCAAGAATAGTAATAACACTTTCCATCAATTCTGACCAAAGAATTTTAACAATTCTTACAAAGGAACAGAGAACAGAGGTCAGTATAACTTTACAGCCTGCCTTCATCACTTCCCTACCACAGTCAGACATCCACGATGCTGGTCAAAATTAGGGCAACACAGATGTACCCATTCCCAAAGAAGTGTTCTAGCTAAAAAATACCTGATTTATGGACAAAAAATGGCTAACTGAAGTCTGAAGAACAAGTGAAACCACAGCACAAGCAATAGACAGAAAAGTATGTTTACCTTCCTGATTTGGTAGCAGATTAACACAAAACGAGAAGTGGTGGGAGGAGGGATGTAAAGGTTGTTATGAATACCTACCAGCTGTTACCAGCACAAGATTTTGCCACAAATTCACTATTACAGCTCTTCCCCTAAAAGCCGTCTACAGGCAACTGAAACGTTTCTCATGCTACCTGTTCAAGTACTTCTCAGCAGAAACATTTATACCAAATTACCCTTGTAACTGGTAGTTACATTTCTCCAAACAAACAAAATTGGATTTTTTTTTCCAAAAACTTAAGTTTAATACATATCCTGTAAGTATTGCTACCACTCCTTAAACAAATAACGCTTCCTATATTTAAGAACTGAAGAAAATTGTTTAAAGTTTCACAGAAAAAAAAGCCTGCAGATGTATCATTACTTGCAAGGCAGTTATCACAAATGCTACTTTCTTTTCTTTTTTGTGGTCGTTCACTCTGTTTCACAAAGAGGTTTAAAATTATTACATCTCAAACGAAAGCCTATAAAAACATATTGAAAGATACAACATGCTTAAAATGAGTTTTCTTGGTTTCACAAGCTTTTCTTGTTTCTCTTTTATGAAGAGATGAGAAATTAAAATTAGCATTTGAAAGTATTCAAAAGATTGTTCAAACTTCTCATTCAGGTGTCAGATTCCACAGGTGTGATTTCTCATTAAGTACAGTGAAACCTTCTTGAAATCAACCTTGCTAGGCAACCTCTGTTTTTAACGTTATAAAGCAAAACAGTAAAATTCTGGTTTACCTACAACTGAAGATACTCTTAGACAAATAACCAACTCAAATGGTAGAGCCTAAGATGAGCACAGAAAGAACACAACGCGTATCTGTTCTCTTACCTCACACATTGAGGGTATCAAGGTTCTATAACTTCTGGTTAAGAAAAGAATCTTAACTCATACCATTTCATTGTTTAGTCAACTCTTCTGCCATTATTATACCCGTAACTCATGTTAGAGGTCTTTTAGTTTTAATTTTTAAAAGTATTAATAAAAAGAGTATAGAAAGTGCACTGCTGGGAACACTTGAGCACCAGGATGAAGTGATAGGATTTCTTTTTGCAATAAAGCTAATAATTCTTGAAATGGAAACCAAAATCATGCTGGCACAGCATTTTGCTTCTCTCAAAACTAAACTGCTTGCAAGACAAATACTATTACAGCAGAATACTTTTTTTCACCGAATCATTAGAATTGCAGTTTAAACTGACTTGTAAACAATGTAAGCTTTAGGGAAACATCTATTTTTGTACAGATTCTGGCTTCCAACAGACTGAAACTCTTTATTTATTGCTAATTCACGAAAGTTAATATATTATCTATACAAAACAGAATCTCTCAAGGAATACTTTGAATTGAACCAGATAAAGTGCAATTTTTTACTCGATAAATTTTGCAGGTATGTACGGCATCCCTCAAGATCTTACCACTCAAATGGCAAATTAAGATAATCCCTCAATTTCTAACTCCCCCCCAGTTAAATAAAAAAATAGAAACCAGAGTTTCTAATAAGCACTCAATCTTCAAAATTATGACAGGAGTAATATGAAAGGCAGTACCACCAAACAACAACAAAGTAGAAAATTCACACACTCACCAAATACATGCATTAAACCCAAACTAGTTTGGAACCTGACTGCCTAAAGCAAACACATGCCTCAAGTCTTCTTGCATTCAAAGCTTCTCCTGTTTGTTTTCCTTATAAACATATGGGAAGATGTCAATTCTAAGTGTTTAGTATTTTGTATCTCAACATAGAATAGCCATCTTCATGGTTACAGCTTCCTTAAAATAAATTTACTAGTAATGATATAAATGACAGCTTCAGGAGATGAGGAAAACGCATTGAAAGCGTGAAACTCCAGATAGCAGTTTCTGAAATACTTACAAAACTTTGACTTACACGCCTCCAAGAAACATAAGAGAAGACACTAAAACCAAAAGAAGTAATATTTTGCATAGGTTCATGCCATCTGTGCAAGGCAAGAGCACCAATTATTTCAGACTATCCTGTTCTAAATTATTTTGCTGACTTTTTCAAGTCAATACTTATCTATGCAGAAATCTTTGTGAAAGCCACCGTAACAGCAGCAATAAAAAAAAATAAATCTGGCAGAGTGAAAAGTAAAATCATTAATCTACTGGGAAACCTTTTTGAAAGTTAACTTGTGTCATTTACCAGTGACAGTCCTTAAGCATTAGCTAGAGACAACAACCTTTTTTTTACTTTACAGTCCAAGATCATTAATACTGAACAATACTGACAGGTGTCTCCCAGATAAAGACCACCAGTTGCACTAGTACACTAGACAACATCTATTTTGTTTTGTTGCTAGTTTAAGTTTGTTAATACAGTGTGAATAACCCAAGTCACATTTAGATTATCACACAAATGGTGACCTAAAAAAAATTTTTTTAAAAAATAAATCTTTTCCATGACATTAGACTAAAATTTTGCAGAATGACATTTTATATCCTGTACCATGACTAAAATTTGAAGAAATTATTTATTAGCACGCTAGACCTAAATATAATTAATACTTGATGCACTATATTTACCATTCTGTAATCCCATCCACAGTTGCTTATGATCCTTTTTCTGCATCTCATTGATGACTTGACTTTTGTGCTTTAAAGCATCTGCTTCTTTTATACAAGCCATAAAATGAGCTTCAATCACATCCTTAGAATGGCAGTGTAGAAGATCCTTTTCTGGAAAATTCTACAAAGAGAAAAGACAGATCAAGAGAAATAAATGCATCTTAGAAGATCAAGAATAAACGATAATTTTAATCGGGTTTGTAGGTATACAAAAGCAGCACACTGTAATATTCTACTACTCATGGAAGAAGGTAACAACCATTCTCCCACTCTGCTGACAAGAAAGGTTTTGCAGTGAAAAACTTTTCAGGAAAAAAAAAAAAAAGTTGAACAACTTTCTGTAAACCTCAAAATTACTCTAAATCACCCAACCTCAACTTGATAAATACATTTAAATGTATCAGCGGATGTATTTAGACCCTTACCTCCAAAATTCAGGAAATTAAGAGTTTTAACGTTCTCAGGCAGATGTTCTCCTGTTCAATGCCAGAGAACTGAAAAGGGGGAGAAGTGACATGCACCCAATTCCTATTCACTTGCAATGGCAGTTTAGCACCCCTTTCTATGCAGGCCTTTGAAAAATGTTTCCTCCAAGCATTATCATCCACATATAGGAACTACAGCATATATACCACTTATAAACATTTTTCCTTAGAGATACTGGGGATCCTTGTCAGCTCCAACTTTACCTAATACATGTGTCTATTGCTAGCCCACGTGACTTGATTCTACACTCCTTTTATTTGGTTAGAGTTTACACACTGCGTTCGGCCTTGCAGATGCTCAGTCACTGCTCCTCAGGTAGCTTTCGTCCTCTCAGTATATAACAACTATCTTTCCTAATTTGTGTATGAAGGAATTACAGTAGTAAAACTCATTCAGGTATAAAAAAGATTTCTTTGGAAATTTACTAATCAGAAGTTCAGCATTGTATAGGCATAGAGTTAAGGTTGTTCTTCCTCTAATTTTTCTTTTATCAACACTTAGTATCACTTGCCATTTTACAATAATACAAGTGTTCATTATCATAATTTCATTGTCTTCAGTTTTCAAAGGTTTAAACACCCAACATGTTTTATCCCCTCCTTATTCATCTTCTTTTCACAGTTGCTTAAGACCACGCTGAACAGTGCAAAGCCCAGAACCAAACCAGAGTGGCACCATCGGCACTCCCTTTCATAACAAGGGCTTGCCACATATTTTTGTACTTTAATTCTCATCTGTTATTCCACAAGAGAACCGTTCCTTTTAACTCATTACAAATTGGCTATTTAAAAAAGCTTTTGTAAGGGACTGTCAAAATCATTTTGGAAATACAAGTAGACATAATGGGACATTTTTCAAAGGCTTTTACAACATAGTTAACATGTCACAGTAGGAGCAATATAATGCTGGAAAAATCCATACCTTCCCTTCTCCACATAAAACCAGGAAAAATAGTGAAGACTACACTGTTCAAACCACAGGAACTCAAAATATCCAAGGACCACTTGTTAGTGGTTGGTAATATGAAATGGACCTGGGGATGCCTTACCTAAAGGAAATTCTGAGGACAAAATGATAGTTCCCTCCTCATTAAGTTATTGAAAGGAGTTGGAAATTAAATAATGGCATTTCATACAGCGATTCTTCCTTATGACAGCAAATCCAGACTCTGGAAACTGTGGATCATAAGAACAAGTATCTTCCAAAAACAAGTATAAAGTGAAGACTGCCAGTATCTTTCCCACTGAAGCATATACGGTTTTGTGTTGAACTCACAAAGGGAGTACTGTTACTTAGGCCTGATGTATGTGGAGCTGACTAGAAATCTAAGGACAGAGATAAAGCTTGTTTCTCATATGAGGATGGCCAAGTATAAAGACATTAACGAGGACAGAACTGAAAGGAAAGTTCTCCTTCTAGGGCAGACCTCACTCTGTTTCTCCCCTACAAAGCTGAGTGTCTCAGCAAAACTGGGCCCAAGATGAATGGAAAACATTACTGGGATTGTTACTTGCCAGCTGACATCTGTATAGGCCTGTAAAATACTTTTAGAAGTTTAACTTACTTGCTCAAATAAAAAAAAAGTAAAGTCTGGTAACCAATCTGGAAGAAAACACCAGTCAGAAATAGCATACTTCAAGATCAAAAAGTTCTTTACATGCAAGAATTCAAAGAGAGACACTGGCATCCCTCAAAAAAAGATGAAACAGTGGAATGTACCTAATGTCAAGTAATATAGGAACCTAGAAACTGACTTTCACAAGTAAAAGCTGAAGTTTTAGCTTACAACAACTGTTTTGTTACACATATGTCTAAATATTGAACCACGGGGTCTTTTTATGGACATTCCTGCCTTCCTACAGGTAGGTATCTCCTGCTGACTTTCTTCCAAGGAATTCCAAATTACAGGGAATGTCACTCCCTGTGGATGTGTTGCAGAGAACACATACAGTGTGACCTGCAGAATACGAAGGAGGTATTTAAAACTGGTCAAAGCTAGCTAAGCTAGTGGAAAGAATCTAGCCACAGTAGTACAAAAGTGTGGTATGATTAATTTTCCCATCTTCTAAGGGATAACACTGTGGAAGACTGGAAAACACTCCTACAACCTCCTACTCTTTTCTCTAGAAGAAAAACACCAACATATTTCTATGCAGTACTGCAAGTAGAAGCTGGAAAACCTAAACATGAAAGTGATAACTTAGAAAACAACACTGCTGCACCTACAAAGAAGTATATGAAAGTTTCACCCACCTGAGACTACCAACAGAAAATATGGCATCCCCACTGATTTACAAACAAGGGTACAGAACAGTAAGTTTTATACTTAAATATAGAACATGTATACTTGTAGTTTTATTTTTTTAAAATTCTACTTGCCTTCTTTCTACTTGAGCAAATAGTGATCAAATGTAAATAACTTTATTCAGCCCCCTGAAGAAAGAGACAGTTGCAAACAACCTGGTAGCCACCCCAGGCTATACAACTGAGATCTGCAGAAAGTTTTAACAGATCCCATAAGCAGCTTTAATTCAAGTACTCTTATTGGTGAGGTCTTACTCCCTCTATGTTCTGTATCTTTGAAAAGTTATTAAGGGTTGACGCTGATTTTCTTGGAAAGCTCAGGTAGTTCTGGTTTTGTTTCACATATCAGTAGACACTTACAGCACAAATTCGGTCACAATGAAGTAGATACCATCTGTACAGAGAGGAGCACTAAATGACCTCTCACACAAAACTGTTTCAAAAACAGCACAGGTAATTTCAACAGTCTGGTTTCCTAGCTCCATTTCACCCACATTTATCTGTCAGTTCTAATTCACAAAACATCTGTTTATACTGTGACAGTCTAGTTGCATTAGGCTACATTTACAGAACATTACACCAATAACAGGGCATTAAAAACCATAAGGAACATATCGAGTGGCAAGCGGAATAGCCATATATTTATGTTTAGTTACCATCAGTGGTCTTTTTTTAAAAAACGATTAATTTTAAAAAACCCCTTATTTAAACTTCAGGCTTCCACTATGTCTCCTAGCAGTTCCACAACTTATCCACATGCTATGTGGAAAAATTCTTCCTTGTCACTCCACCTGACCCAATTTTTAGCTAAGAAAACCAAAAAGACAGCTGTTGTTCTGCAGTCTCTCCTCCTCTACATCAGGTCATGGGTAGAGAGGCAGGCACCAGCAGATAAGGGCTTCAGCAGAGGGAGAATGTTAGCCTTTCCCCTGGCATACCCGATTTCCTCTTCTACAGTAGTGCTACCGTCTCCAGAGCAGTTCGCCACCTCCTATCTACTGCCCAAAATCTGGAGAGCTGGTTAACACCCTGAGAACATGAATAGTGCTAAGCATGCCGCAGAGTAGCATGAGATGAGTTTAACAGGGAGGGATAGGATTTCCTTCCTCCCCATAAAGCCACACCTGGGTAACAAAAGCACCTTCCCAGACTACGGCTTCTCACGATTCTCAGACCTTAGTACTCTGTTCAAGCTCATCCTTCTGCAACTATTTAAGGCAACTGTATCTCAACTTTACTAGAGATATAAACGCATGTTATTTTATTGCATACAAGAAGTACAAATGAATAAACTGCTTCTTCAACGCAAACAATAGGTGTGTTTATTATTTGGTCTGCATACATAACACAGGAGGACAATTACAAGTATCTCAACTTTCAAACTTCTGCTGAACAGAAATAATTCTTTTTTCATATTTTTAATTTTAAACAGAGAAAACAGGGGTGGGTGTGTTAAAAAACATTTTTTACAGATGTTCGAGAGATCTGTTGTTGACTGCATGTTTTGGTAAAAGAAAGGAGAAAGCCGTGAGAGCAAAAGTTAAACCCCAGAAAAATCTAATACGGTTCAAGTAAGCCAAATAAAAGTATGGTTCTTTGAAGAATAACTACACACAAATGAAAAGAATTATCCAGGTACGAATCCCACACCTAAACTATTCAGCTGTAAGAAACTAATACATGAAAATATCTTCAATATTTTGACATACTTTGATATATTTTAGTTATGTTTTGACTTTAAAGATTAAGAGGTGTTTATTTAAATAAACTTTCAGATTACATCAAAAACAGGAAGAGAAATTAAGCAGGCGCTTAATCCAAGGTGTTATATTTTTAAAAACTAATTTACATCAGCTTTTAATATAATACTGCCTTAGCAGTAAATTATTTCCACTGATCTTTAATGTACACCTTTGAGACAAACTTAAATTAGCTGATCTTTTGGCAAGCAGCAATATAAAGACATTGAAGTCAGTTTACATTACTACATGATATTGAAAAGCACTGTGGTGCTGCAACTTATTTCTTAAGATGGCTCTGCTTTGGGACGGCAACATCGACACACTGCCACTGTTAAGCTCCCAGAGCTCTCAGAAGGCATATCGATTAAATCATGATTTATGAAACTAGACACGCTACAGTTTCTTCAAAACACTCTGGAAGTTTCTTCACCCCAGCGCTCTCTGACATACATTAGACAGAAGTGTGGCAATTACAGTGGTTTCAAGAACATCCCCAACTTCGGATTCAGTCAGTCATTTTAAAAGTTTTAACATGTGGAAATACGTATCATAAGAATGCACAATTTCAGTGCACATTTCCAAAAAGAATTAGACTACTCCTGTTAGCAAGACCTGTTCTAAAACACTTTCAAGAGAAGAACTGTTCGAATGAAAACGTTCAACACAACTGCTTCCCAGTATGCTTTTAATTTAATCTCAAATCTCACACACTGAAGTCATGTCTATTAACCCAGCATTTTCTTTTCTGATCAGTTTTCCTATTGCATCAGTTATTTTACAACACAGAAATTAAAGTTTCAAAGTTAAATACCATAATTTCTAGTTGTGATTTTGACTTCAAAACATACCTGGGATTACAGTCACAATGCATTTCAGAGTATGAAAGAATCCTGCACCAAAGCTAACCCTGCACAAGTACTCTTCCGAGCAAAGATCAGTAGTGCTATGAAGTCATACCTAATGGTTTTACAATGTGTAATCAAACTAATGTCTCTTCTGTGACTAAGCTGTCACAAGATCAAACTCATTTCACTCAGTTCTCTAAAGCAGACTAGCATGAAGTACAGCAGCCTTCCCCGACTTCAAGGATTTTCTACAGTATCTCATATCCATGTTCTTGTGCCTAAAAGCATAAGCAGTTCTCAATCTTCTCAATCTTCAGTCAACAAAAGCTGGCTGAATTAGAAACATTATAGAAAGTTCTTCCCTTATATTCACTCAATTGCACTGACAGTCTCATAACTTGTCTTGAAAGAAAACTTTGGATTTTCAGATTATAATAGAATAATTTCCAAAGGAAAGTAATCTGAAAGCACATGCAATCTCCTGGAAAACAGCTGTAGATTTACAGAGAATTTTAGATGATTCCTGAAGAATTAATGTTCTCCCCTTCAAGTCATACTTTTAAAACTTACTTATAAAACAACATGAAACCTCTTCCTAGCTTCCAAATTTCATGTAATCCCACACTCACTTGTTCTTAACTAAAGGTGTATTTCAATTTTACCTTGAAATGCACTGTGATGCTCCAAGGAAGGGCTGTATTTGATGCATGGAGATCAAACAGCAAACCAATTGGATAATGCCTAAAAATTAAGAGATATTAAATTAACATAAAAGCTATGTATTTAATTCTACTTTTAACAGTTAACACACCTGCATTTACATGAAAAAAGAGAGCTGTTTGACACCCACAATTAACATTCATTATTGCTTATTCAGAAAAGCTACACAGGCAAGTATAAACAACTGACAGTTTTCTGGCAGAATCAAGACTGGAATTTAGACATTCAATGTCTAAACCAGTAGTCTCCACGCTGTGCCTACAAAACACTGCTGGTTTTGCAACAGCATGAGTGGCCTACAGCTGCTCTATGTAATCCTTCAAAACAGTATTTTTAGTTAAAAAGCTTCATAATGGTAGGAATAGCTGGTCTGACAGAAAAATATACATGCTTTCGGATATTTAAACACCATGTGTTTATGTCACACTGACAACATCTCTTCCCTCTGCCACCTGCCTGATGCCATTGTGGAGAACAAGCAGTAAAGTGAAAAAATGACATATCTGAGAAAGGGCTGAAAGATGACAGATCAAGATGAACTCTGTATCTTTGCTATCAAATTAAGAAGAAGGGAAGGGGAGAAAAGATTAATCGGAGTTTTGTATTTCAGTGGTGTTCTGGATTAAAGGAGTTACACAAAGAAGCTGCTTCCTCCAAATATTTACTTATGCCTTATAGCTTTGTCTCCTTCAAATTAATTAGAAGATACAGCCTCCAGCAACATAAGGAATGTATATCACATCCACAAAACTTCCACCTCTAAAAAGGTCTTTCTGCAACATTCGCACAAGCAGACACCATCAAGATTTTTGATAAAACATTTTTTTTTTATTGCATTCAGCATATTAAGCTCAATTCTTTTATCTTTCAAAAATCTTAACTAAGAGATCCTTACTAGTTTTTCATCCTACAAAGAGATAAACACACAGTTAACTGTAAACTCAGTGTCTTCACTGAATTAAATGGAACTGATCACAGGATGCAGAGTCAAACACGCACATAAGTCTCGAAACTCCAGAGAGCAATAACCGCGAGCATTGCTCTAAAAGCACCTGTGCCAAGTCCATTTCCTGACCTGCTAAACTCTCACACGACGGTGCTTTAGCACCCTCTACGGGTGAGCTAACCCCAAAGCTAAGACAAAGTCAACACAACAGCAAAATAAAAACCAAAACAAAACAGAACTACAATTTTTGAACTTACCTATCACATCAGTAACATCTTAAAAGAAAGAATAGGGGGAAATATCAAGAAAGTACTTAGAACTGTGTTTTCCTGACAAAGGGAATAAAGAATATAGTAATGCGTATCTGGATTTATCCAAATTCATTGCTAATGCTCAAGTTTTTACCACTAGGACTTTTTACTACTAACTGCCTATCATGTCCTGAGTACTTCAACAGGGATTCAGAAAGAATTCCATGAAAGAGTGGGTTTCCAGATAAGCTAAATAACAAAAAACAGATTTCCTTTGAGAATTACATGAACACAAACACTGACTTTCATTTACTTTCAATTTATACAACAAAACAGTTAGCTACAAGAAAAAAAAAAAGCCCCCCAAAAGCATCAGTCCTTGGTCCACCTCTGTATTTTCTACCCAGTTGAGATTACAAAATCCATCTGCTCAAGCTTTCTTCAGTAAAATCCTTGTGCTTTGCACAGCTGATAAATGTTTTTTATTTTGAAAGAGGCCAGCTGTAAATCCATTTTGTTCCATAGCAGAACACATGAGATTATTGAAGACAGCAGACCATGACAGAAACAGTTTTCTATTCAGAAGCGCAGCCTTCCATTAAGAGTAAAGGTCACAACAGGCGTGAAGCAAACACATAAGACATGTCCTGCTTCAAATTCCACCTGGCATTTAATCTGAAGCCAATGGAAGTCTTAAGTAATGTCTGTACATAATGCTGTGTTTCGCTTATTTTTGAGACAGTTACACACATGCTTTAAGAGTCTGGAAACAACAGCACTCCATATAACGATACTAAAGCCACTCTTTATACTTCCCTCATAATAAAACCTGGATTCTTAACCAGGATGGAGAATTAAGGGAGGCACAAAGAGAGAAGTTAAGAAAGGAGGACTTGTCAATCTGTACATGGAATTAAAAAACCTAACATCCCCTTACTCCATTCTTAAGTGTGCATCTACCTTGTGTTATGAGCCCATATTCCTTCATTAAAGATCTTGCTTCCAGTGGTACTGCTGCAGTGCTGTTTCTGAACTCCTTGAAAAATATGCATTGCAATTAAAGAAATACACACATGCTCTCTAGAACCACAGTAACCACGAGAATTTTAAAAAAGCCCAAGAAGTTAAAAACCTAAGAGAACCTTTAAAGATTTGCCCCTGCCAAAAAGAAAAGAAAAAAACCCAAACAGAACGACAGCTGAGGGAAACATCCAACTCACAAAGGTATCATTTTGAAAAAACACTAATGGATTGTTGAAATCAAACTGGTCTTAACTAGAGTGGGAGCCGAGGACATGTGCAGAACTTTCTCAAAGGAAATAACAGGAAAAATATCAAGAAGAAAATGTCTTAAGAGACCACAAATCTCTTTTTTTGTAAATTGCTAGAATAATGGTTGATTCTGGAAAGTCTTCAATCTATGGAAGTGTAACAGCACCTTGACTTCCAGCCTCTGTCAATTTATTACTGCTTTTATTATTACACAAAAGGTGGTTTCAGAGCACGAGAGTAGTTCTGGAAAACACCATGTTAAGTACTTAAAATCCTTTTGAAAGTGATAGATGGACAGTAATTAATTTCTAACCATCTCTTTCTGAACCCAGGACAGAAAGTGACAGCACGAGTTGGTAGGTTACTTTCACACCAGAATAATTTACTATAATTCAGAAAGACGTGTCGCATGAACTGATAAATCCAGGATAAAAAAGTCCTATGTTCCAGAACTCTCTGTGGTACTAAGTGTATCAAGTAGCCAAAATCTGGTGTTTAGGTATTTCAATAAACAAATGTCTCATTGAGAGCAATTTTGGCTGTAATGGAAAATAGTCTCACCTTTTCCTTCAGTACTCAGTAAGAAAAATTTTTCTTAGATCTTTTGAACAAATGCTAGCATTTTCAAATAATATGTCAGCCTGATGAAATGCTGCTTTGACCTTTTGTCTTCCACTGATTCCTGATTAGGAAGAGTCAATCATCCATCCAGTTGGCACTAGAGAGATAGCTATCTATCTACCAGGGCTAGAGCACAACCCACAGAATGGGGACAGAAACTGCTGAAGGCCATGTGCAAGTGCTCAAACAGGATGGTGACAAGCTATAGAGTGTTGCTCCCCTAGCATCTGCTGAAGAAACCACCCCTGGCACATCAAAGGCCTCCACTCACGCAGAGCTCATGAGAGAGGATGCAGCTTTCCAGGTCTCCAGCTGCCAGGAGAGCTTGGGACCTCCCTGGAGGCCTGGGGCAAGCAGAGGAAATGTCCTTGCCTAGAGGTGGTGTGTGTTAGTGAAGGAGTTCTGTCACCAAGTTAAGGAGCTGCAGGTCAGTGGGCTGCACAGCATCAGGGAAGATAAGAGATTGACGGCATCTACACGGAGACCTTGAAGAGATTAGAGCCTGAACTCCCAGCTGCACAGAAAGAGGGTCTGCAGTCATTGGAGTGGCAAATGGAAACTCACAAGATGGGGAAGACTGGAGCCTTGTGGCCTCTGGCAAGAGAAGGCAGGCTCCTTCTCCACCTGCAGTCATTGCCTCAATGGCAGAAAAGGGGCTGGAAGTTCTAAGGAAGCATCAGAGCAACCTGAGCAGCACCCCCACACCAAGAAAAAGCAGTCATAGCAGTAGGAGACTTCATCCTACAGGGGACAGAGCCCTCCCCCACCCGCCAGTCTCACTTGCTACCTGCGGAGGTTTGCTGCTTGTTAAGAAGCTGCAGACGGACTGGCAAGTTTTGTCTTGTGCTTGGGTTATTAGCCCTTGCAACCACATGGGCACAAATCATAAGCGCTGCAAGGGAACACTTGAGTATATCAAGAGCGACTATACAGCTCCAGGGGCAAGATGGCACCTCCACCTTCACAAGGACTTGGCTTTTTCATCCACAGGACACTCGCTGGGGATAAAGGACTGCTAAGGAGAGATGAAATCCATTTAAGTGAGACAAAAGTATCTTTGCCTTCAGGTTGGCCAGCCTGGTGAGGACAGCTTTAGACCATAAACAACAGCGGTGTGAGTAACAACCCGCAGACAAGTAGAAATTAATGGACATGGGTGGAAAGCAAATGGTGAAAGGTGAACAGCTACAAGGGAGATCTCAATGGTAAGAGAGGGTAGAAGAGAGTCTACCACAAGCATAAGTACATAAATGCACACAGCTTGGTAAACAAGCAGCAGAAACTACAGCTCCACATGCAGTAACATAACTGTGACAGTGCTGGGCTACCAGATATACGGTGAGACAGCTCGCACAGCTGGAATGCTGTTGTGGATGGATAGATGCGAGCTGCTCAGGAAAGACAGGCAGGGCAGATGAGGGAAGAGGGTTGTCTTCCATGTGAGGGAGCAGCTTAGATATAAAACTTAATGGGATAGACCACAGGTTGGTTGAGATCTTGTGGTTCAGGACTAGAGGAGAGGCTAGTAAGGGCAACATCGCAGTCAGTTTGTCACAGATCATGCAATCCAGGTGAGGAAGTTGTCTTTAAACAACTCAAGAAGTTTCTGCATCACAGATTCTGGTTCTTGTTAATCTCTGACATCTGCTGGAAAAACAACATGGTGGGATACAAGTAGTCAAGATTTCTTGATACAGGCATTGGATGGACCAGAGCTGACCCGCAGCTGAATCTGTTACTTACTAACAAGACAAAAGTAGTTCTGGATGTGATAATGAGTGGCAGCTTTGGCTGTAGTTAGTGACCATGAAATGGCAGAGTTCAAGATCCTGGAGAGACTGATAAAGGAGAGTGAGTGGAATACAGACCTTCGACTTCACTTGCCACTTCCTCCTGGTGCCTCTGCACAGTACAAGCTCAGACACCTCAGATGCATCACTGGACAGAGCTTTCAGTCCCTCACGTGCAGGCAGAGCACTGAACTTATCCTGTAGGTACAGAAGTGCAGGTGGAGAAGCAGCCTTCCTACTGTTGCCAGAAGTCACAGGCTTCCAGCCCTTCTATATCTTAGGAAACTATTTTCCAATCCAATAATCACAGACTCTGCCTGCATCTCCTTCAATGCAGTTGTACGTTAAGGCTCCTGGACCTGCCACATCTCTGAGAAGATTTGATCCGTTTCCTTTTGTAGTCTCTGATGCTGCACAGTCTGATGACCTCTTTCTGCAGCACCTTAATTGGTGACACACACACCTCCCCAGTACACGCCTCCTGTAGGCAAGAAGACCATCTTCCCCTGCCCCAACAACCTCAGTGGGAGGCCCCAGGCCTCTGTAACTCCAAACCTAGAGAGCTTCATTCTCCTTCAGGAGCCTGGCCCGAGTGCTGTACACCATGAAGTTGAAACCACGTTTCAGAATTCCTCCAAAACCTCACCGGAAAACAGAAGAGCTGCAGCTGAAAAGGGATATACATCCCAACCAGGTATGAAACCGCACAGACTGTAAGCAACATGACCTCACAGTGCAAAGTAAATACTTAGAATAAGCAACATTTTTAGCAATTATTCTATTTGATTCTGAATGCAGAAATTATACTTCAAAAGATTAGGCATTAATGCTCACTGTTCTTTCTCTACAAACTACTAGCTCAATCTAATCCTCAGTTCCAATATTGGGTCTTCCCCAGAACAAGCTTCAGCTATTTAGGGGATTACCATTCTCCTAAAATAATGGTCTGCAGATAGCATTTTCCTTAGAAAAGCAATTCCACTGAAATCACTGGAGCTGTTCCTGGTAGAATATGCTTAGATTTTCTGAAAGATCAGAACTTAATTAGCAGATCATAATTACACTGATCATTTTAATTTCAATGTTCAGTAAGATTACTAACTCTTCACCTAATTTTAGAATTATAATTTATATTTTTACTCTATACATATGTTCTGCAATTTTAATTTTTTTATAATTCTTGTTTAAACATCACAGTATCTAAAAACTTACAGAAAACACAGATCTATTTTTTGTTGAAGTAAAAAGCCTCTCTTGCCTTTCTTGATACAACTTCAGGGAAAACTTAGAAAGGTTCCTCCCATGGAAAGCTGCCAGTCAGGAAAGGACCTGGGGGTGCTGGTCGACAGCTGGCTGAACATGAGCCAGCAGTGTGCCCAGGTGGCCAAGAAGGCCAACAGCATCCTGGCCTGTATCAGAAATAGTGTTGTCAGCAGGAGTAGGGAGGTGATCGTGCCTCTGTACTTGGCACTAGTGAGGCAGCACCTCAAATCCTGCGTGCACAGTTTTTGGCCCCTCACTACAAGAAGGACATTGAGGTGCTGGAGCGTGTCCAGAGAAGGGCAACGAAGTTGGTGAAGGGTCTGGAGAAAAGGTCTTGTGAGGAGCAGCTGAGGGAACTGGGGTCGTTTAGTCTGGAGAAGAGAAGGCTGCAGCGAGACTTAATGCTCTCTACAACTACCTGAAAGGTGGCTACATTGAGGTGGGGGTCGGTCTCCCAAGTAACAAGTGATAGGACGAGAGGAAATGGTCTCAGGTTTCACCAGGGAAAGTTTAGATTGGACATTAGGAAAAATTTCTTTACTGAAAGAGTGGTCAGACATTGGAACAGGCTGCCCAGGGAAGTGGTGGAGTCACCATCCCTGGAGGTGTTCAAAAAAACGTGTTGATATAGCGCTTCAGGACATGGTTTAGGGGACACGGTGGTGTTAGGTCAACGGTTGGACTTGATGATCTTGGAGATCTTTTCCAACCTAATGATTCTATGATTATCTACCTAAGATCATGAACACACTGGGACAAACTTGGCACCTTGCTGTTTAATTAGGCAGTATCTATGACTCAAGGTCACTGTGGCACACCAAGAAACCAATTATTGTTAAATTCCAGAAAATTTAAACAGATGCCTAATGCTGGTTTTGCCAGCCAGTTTCAAAAAAGTGAAAAAAAGCTAGGTTTTATGCTTTTCTAGTTAACGTATTTTCAAGGTTTACACTAGGCTGGTCTCAAAGAAATAAAAGAACTACTGCATCACCAAGTCTAAAGGGACTCCATGATGTGATGCTTGCTAACTACAAGACAATCCAGGTTCAAGAAACTAAACCAGTCACTGGTTGTTTTCTTTCCTTTTATGAGAGAGGAAATAAAAAGATATAAAATCTCTTTAGTATTGAAAATACTTTCTGGAGAGCTGATGCTATATATACACAGAGCTAGCAAAAACTGCAGCGCTCAAAATATTTTCTTTAAAATTCTTTATGGCATAAATAGAAAAAAACAAAGTCTGATGAACAGTATTTATGAAAACTAAATAAACTAAACAATGTTAGTCTGATTCCTCAACCTCTCAGAAAATAAAAAACTTTTAATAGACCATATGGCAGAGCAAAAATAGAATCAACAACAATTAGTTCAATAAAGTTGAACTAATTGAATTCAACAAGAGCCTGTGCATGAGTATTAGATTATCCATTTTACAGTGCAAGCACGTATCAAACCAGTGAAAAGTGAAGGTTACGCACAAGTTTTATTTTCTTTAGGCATATATCCTATTTGTATTCAGACTCCAGAAATAATACCTCCTGTCTGTGTTATTAGGCATCCTTTAAGAAGGTAGAATAAGCTAAACAAATATTTATTTGGTGATGCTACTGCAAGAAACAGTAAAGCAAAAAACACTGGCATTTTGTATTACAGTAACAACTAGAAAAAAACACAATAGGTGCAGCACAACCTCTGCCTTATATACATAGTAAGTACAAGCAGAATAATCAAAAACATGTTGAACATTAAATCTTCTTCTGTTTTTCCCAAACAACGCGCTTTTCTTACCCACCTCCTCTTTTGCCATCTTTGAAACTAAATGGAGTGATTAGTTCAGAAGTACTGACACTGCGCTGAACTCAATAACTCTTTACATGATAAGCTGAGTAAAGGCACAAAGCTAAATAAACTCACCATTTCAGTGGTGTACCTTCGTATTCAAACCATATTTCACTAACTTCCTCTTGTCTCATAACTTTCTGAAAGTGCTTCTTCACTTTGTCTGTTACCAGTGTCAAATAGCTTATCCTTGGCAAAAGCAACTGAAAGAAAAAAATTATAGAAGCTTTGAGTGCACATAAAATTTACTAAATTAATTAAAATCTATAAGAAGTATGCATTTTCATAACCAAAATTCAGTCAGCATTTTTTTTTCCTCCTTTAAGGTAAGATGTCATTTACTTGCTAATGGTCAATGAAAGGCTATAACATTATCTACTCAGAAGATGCAGAACAGCAGTATCCAATACACTAACACACAAAAGAATTAGTATAATGACAAATTCTCGATTCTTTTGATGGGATGGGAGGGAGGAAAGTGGAATTCAACTTCTGCTTTTCTTTATTTAAGCAGGCCAAAGAATGCAGGTTTTAACCTTTATCATCTGAACAGATAGGAACATGTTCTAACTTCTTATTGAATATAATAAGGAACTGTGTAACAGCTATTGTTTCAAAATGGAAATGCCTACAAAATAAAAAAAAAAAGAATGAAATCTAGCTGCTTAAGGGTTTCCAAGTGCATTTTGTATTTCGAATAGCCGGCAATTTCCATTTCCTATGCACTGGTTTTGCAAATTCCACATGTTAGTCAAGGCTACTACGATTCTTCCACTATTTAACCTTTGCCCAGCTACTAAAGTCAGAAAATTGTCAATATTTTATCAGTTGAAATAAGACACCTTCCTACAGCTTTCTTTTTTTCCTCAAGCATAATGTTATGCACTAACCAAAACAGAATGCAGTGTTATTCCTATTTGCAACCCCTACCCCTACCCCCTTCTTTTTTTTAAAAAAAAAAAAAGTCCTATGCCTAGTAAGAGTGGTTAAGCAGACTGCATCTCTCTGTGTACTGACTGATGGCTGTATAGCACATTTATTTAAGATGAATCAGTCCATAAACTTTAATAAACTATGCCTTTCTGTATCCCAATAAGAAAAGATTAACCTCCCTGTGAAATAACACTTAAGCTTTGTAGCAGACATTTTAAATTAATCTTAAGGCATCCCATAAAGTTATTTTCACTTTCTAATTAATTATTAATAAAATACATTAAAGGAATAAATAGAAATAAAATCTATTTTGCATATCTAGAGAAAAAGAAACATTTGTTTTCTAGTGCTCCTCATAACCAGTGATGTTTCTTAAAATATTTTCTTTAGAGTGTACGGATAACACTAGGCCTTAAGTGAATTTCTACAGTACAGATATCCTAAACTATGTAAGGACATATTTAGCCTGACAGAAACCTTGATCTCTGCTGCAACATTCTTCCAGAATCTCTCCAACAATTAGACCACACTTTTAAATTAGATAATATTTTGGCCCTGATACTAGAATTTATTTATAAATGCAAGATTCACAAAGAAGTATGGAGAATAAATCAAGAGTAAATTCTTATGAAAGAGAATGGATTTGTCTTTTAGATAATGCTGCATTAGATTACTAATCTCCATACATCTGTGAAACAACTAAATTTTAGGATTATATATTATATATAACTACAAGGGATTGAGACTCACCACTATCACAGTCATCAAGTCAGTTAACACTTGATCTTTCATGTACCATATGGTTTTCTTTTTCCACCTGTTGCTCTTAGTACCATCATCGTATTGTTTCTACTTTCTTTCATAGGAGTCTAATTCAGCAAGGTAACTAAACAACCTCCAGTTTTTAAAAGGTAAACAATTGCAATAAATTCAATGAAGTCATGCACACACCCAAGAGAGAATTGTTGATACCTCAATGACTTGAATGACGACATAGTCTTACCCTTTATTAACCTAATTCTGCATATCTACACTGACTATTCTTGAAACAATATAGTCCAGGCTATTCCGATCAAACACAGATATTTTTGGTAATAATTACATATTATTTCTGTGTGATATTTACAGTTAAAATAATGCTGGTATATTCTGATATGAGACCCACTTGGACAGCTACAAAAGCCATTTTTCAGCATGCTGCATGTGGCACAGCCATGCAGGAATTGGTAAATATATTAAAGCATTATTGATTGCAACAGTGTTTGACATAACCCTTTAAATTGCGTAACTAACTTCCTCTGTAAAATATTTTACTTCAGTTTGTAGTGTGGAAGAACAACACAGTTTCTATTTCAACACAATTAAAGATCACAGACAATAACCAAACAGCATTTAAACCCAATTTAACAGAATGTGGCCTGCACTCCCAATGGGCCTCTTTGGTGCACAGAACCCAACAGCTAATCAGGTTAACATGGGCTGCCTGTTCTTCAGAGATGCTGAGCGTTTAGAGCATCTACTGAACTCTTTTTTCAGTCTTCCTACCTCTTCTACCTTGCTACAGTGGGAGACATGAAAGGATTAAATTCTGTCACTTTTCTAGCTTTAATTATCCTAGACATTTACAAGAATACTAAGTCTGTTAAGTGAGATCTTTAAAAGCATAGTTTAAAGACATTTTCATTTTGTTATCCTTTTTAATATCCCTTCTCTACCAGTCGTCTACACTCAGTGAAAGACAACAGTTGATACAAACCATTTCTACTCCAAGAGTCTTGTCTTTTTTAAATGCTATTACTGAGCATTTCCAGAGGAAAGCTACTAAAAAATATTTGGAAAAAAACTCAAACCTTAATGCAGTTAACTATATGCTGGGCTTTAGTCAATCTCTCTGACAGCAGAATCACGTCAATTGTTTTACAGAGGCCTCTATATGAAAACTGCAATTCTACACAGCAGTTCACCTTCTAGACTATTAGACAGTCACAAGCTTCTCCAACACCTTAGCCACGTGGCAAGAAGCCTTCCTTTTAGGCAAAGCAGTGTTCACCAGAATGACACCTCTCCCACACTTTTGCTACTCACTCTTAAACCAGTCCACGAAAACCAATGAGGCTACTCTTTCAGCCATTGGTTACTCTACAGCAATACTTCTAGATGCTGGGAATAAATGGCCATGACTCTGGGTTGTTTTTTTTAAACACCTCACCCTCCAGGTCTGTGTCTTCCTCCATGTTCATAAAGCAAGTTCCTCAGAGGAGAAGCCTTTCCCCCCCCTCTTAACATAACGATGCCAGTATTCCCTTCCCATGCAGCCCTGTATTAACGAGTACCGAGATGCAGTAAGAGGAGACATGTAAAGCTGAATGGCTAATGTCGAGGACTGGGAATGTTCACTACATAAACTATTTTACTTCAGTTTCAGGGGTTTTGATGTTTTTTACTTCAATTTAGCCTCCAGATTGATCCTAGACACTAAATACCCACTAGCAGCTTAAGCACATCTTCTGCTTCAGCTTCACGTGAAAGTGATTCAGCTTGTGGGCTCTAAGACTGCTGTGTGATGTAAACCCGGGGAGCAGCAAGTGGAAAGGATGAAGACTTGCTTCAAAAATGCACTCCAGATCTGAACAAAAACATTAATGTAGATGCACTCTGAAACCATAAGAACTAAACCATGATTTAAAAACTTCTGCTCTTCTGCCTTTTACTATTATAATCCTTGGTCCCTTCAAGAAGCAAAGCTGTATTATCAGCTCCAACACGACTTGAAAAAGGAAGAAGCTAAAATTTTAGAGTTGTGATCTCTGAATAACCAGATTTTGCAGAAATAGAGAATGAAGCCTTGAGATTTTTTTGAGCACACTTTAAGCAGAGTAAACAAAAGAATCCCTATCAGATTAAAACTATTTCCTTGACTTAGAAAGTCGGCCACACCATGAAGACAACATGGTTTCAGGGTTTCCATGCTGATGCTAAACTGATCAAGACTGCATGTCTCTACACTTAAACTCATACCTTTCACGTAGTTTTGATTCAATATATACTCATCTATATATGTCTCTAATTTAAAGTCTGAGACTTCTAGATAGCTCAGATGCATTTGGCAATAGGTCAACCACATGAAGTAAGTGCTCCTTTACCAGTAGTGAAACTAAAACATAGAAAGAGGAGCACTATCAGCACTGAACGAAAAGCATGAATGCTTCGTTATGTTTCAAAAACCCACTGGATACACATGTAAATCAGAAACTTATGACGTAAAGATGCTATTAAACACAGGAAAAAAATAATTCTATCCAGTAATATTTTCAAAGAGTAGAATGGGATATGCCAAGACTTAGGGATTTCAGAATCACATAAAAACTCATAGTACAAGAATTTCCTCCCATGTACTTGTTACATTTCAAATTTACGCTTCACTCAATCAGCTAACATTCTCTATCAATCAAAGGTCTAATAGGTGCTGGAAGAATGAAAACTGCTGAGTATGCTGTAAATAAATACTACATGATTACAGAAGGCACTTTCAGTTTACAACTCAAATACATCCATCACCCTCATTTTATCATCAGCTAGCAATCCAGTTGAGGCACTGTACTGTTAAGGCATTACAATATTATAGCTGCTTTTCCTACATCTGAACTAGATCTCTCATGGTTGCTAGTGTTTATAAAGAAAACGAACAGAAGTCGTCCATGAGCAGAAATACTGGAGCTAGTGCTCCTTACGAGTTTGTGTTACATGGGTGACTGATCTTTAGTGTTTAAGACCGCATACAGCTCTGACTGAAGTCATCTCTGTAGTAAGGTAACGCAAAAGTTCTCTCCCATCTTCTGGTCATTATCCAAGAACATACAAACACCCATAGTGCCTCCTCCCCTTACTGAATTACTTGTTAACTTTTTCATTATATTTTTAAGATCTTAATTATCTGTGGTAAGTTTCTCTCACAGGCGAAACAAGCTTAAAGTTTCAAACCTGCTGTGAAGAGAGACAAACCACACAGCATGGTCACATGGTTTACTTTTAGAAGGTACCATAAGAAGAAGATTGTGTTTTTTTCACAACATGTAATAGCACACATGGTAAGAATGAAAGAAACACGCATAACTATGCCATTGGACTATCTGCAACTACGTTTCTTATACTCACATAGTAAGGTTCAGCTTCCCTTTCAGTTATCTCATCCTGATACAGAGTGAAACAGGTTGGTATTCGTCCAAACCACACATCTCGAAGTACATCTTTGTCATCTGTCATTCTTCCACTGGATTGTGAAGCACATGTAGATCAGTTTGTTTCCTCAGGTAGAACTGTAACCCTGTTCCCCCCAAAAGAAAGAAGTCAGCATGACTGCAAGTAAAATACACCTTGTTAAAGGTTCTCCCATAACTATGCTCGTTCAAGCACAATCAATGCTGTCACCGAGACATTAAGTGCATCAGTTTGTACAAAGAACAGGATGAGTTCACACACTTTTCCCAACTACAAACACGCGGTGGGTGACAAGTGAGCATTTTCTAGGCCTGCCTCAGACCCCAGCCGCAGAGCCAAAGGGACCCTTCCCGTTACAGCCCTGCAGACACCCCGCAGCTCCCACACGCCCTGAGGCCCCGGCTTTACCGCGGGCGAACGGCCCCGGACC